TCTCTCTCTCCTGATGAATGTGTGTGTCTGCCGTGCGACTGTCCATTCTTTTATTTTCCAACAAGTATGTTTTACTTTACACCCTAAAAACTACAAAACGATCACTACTTCATAACAATAAAGAGACCCCCACCCTTCCCCTCTCCAAACTATGTTCTACTCTGCAGTTCGAGGTCAGTTTCAGTTTTAGTAAACCATACAAGTGTCGGGGATTAGAGGAGTTACAAGAAAGTAACAAACATAAATAAGAAAAAGGAGAGATCAGGACGGTAGATGTTTGATAGGAAAGAAGGGGGAGAGATCAGGACGGTAGATGTTTGAAAGGAAAGAAGGGGGAGAGATCAGGACGATAGATGTAAGTTTGATAGGAAAGAAGGAGCAAACCACACCAGAGCACCCGCCAATCACCCACTGAAGGAGAGATCAAGACGATAGATGTTTGATAGAAAAGAAGGGGGAGAGATCAGGACGACAGATGTAAGTTTGATAGGAAAGAAGGAGCAAACCACACCAGAGCACCCGCCAACCACCCAGTAAGAGGTCAGAGACTGGTGCGTGGTGCGGCGGTGTGTGTGTGTGTGTGTGACGAGATGACCTCAGCAAGACATCCCCCCTGTCTACCGGCCGGCCGGCCGGCCTACAACACTGCCCAGGTCCAACAGGTAATCTTTAAACTGGGGTGCCCTCCTATCCAACTGGTCCCGACGACCCGACCCGAACCGACCCGAAAAAACTCCATAGTCTTTGTGAATCAGATTGAAACCTCTGATAATTAATTTAAAGAGGCAATCATCATGCTTGACCGACCACGGGCTGTTTTAGTTTAACTCTCTTCTCTGTTTTCTTGCAAAGCTTTAGTAGGAGTTTTACGGCACTTGCAACAAAAAATATATTTATTGGTCACATAAATGCCGAAGATTAAAGGTATTGCTAGACAGTAACATATAAAGAAAATAAGGAGGAAGACATAAAAGGAGGATAGACGTTTCACAGGAAAGAAGGAGAAAACCCCATTAGAGCACCCGCCAACCACCCACTCTCCTCCGTTGATCTATTACATTCTCCCCCCCCCCTACTTGGAAGCAATGCAGCAAGAATATAATACACAGACCTCTAGTACAAGAGAATGGTGGTAATTGATTCACGCCGGGCATCAATCATTCATTTATCTCGTCGATCTTCATCGTGATACAACTGGTACATTACATTAATTACAGCAGGAAAAAAAAATCTTGTATCCTTTTTCCCCAACACGTCAGTCAGGAAAATAATTATGTACAGACCCCGAGGGCTTCGCGAACCCCACAAAATGTAAAGGCAAAAAATCACAAAGATAAAAACAGTGATTTTTAAAACTTAAAATAAATTCCACTACAGTCTTGTTTTTTTTTTTTTTTAGTAGAGGTTTTACGGCGCTCGCAACCCACTAGTCAGTCTACAAACTACAGCGCTCACTCTCCTGAACTCATTCTTACACTGTTACAGTCCTGCTGTTTTCATCTGAAAGATGCAACTTAGTTATCGGACTGAAAATGAATATACTGTATATACCAGATCAAAGGTGGTCAAACTACCATCTATTGAAAAAACCTCGACCCAACTCCAACATTAAAAAAAAAAATTTGTCAAAGTAAAGAGTAGCACATCCACACAAAAACAGTCATTTAAATCTAAGATAAGTGGGAATGAAAAAATAAAACAGCAGGGGGAAAGAAAAAGGAAGTGGGAACCTTTCATCAGTGAGCCCCCATCATAAACCACACACAAATCCTCAAAGATCCAAAGATCCACCCAAACAAATCTGATGGGGACAAGGATCAGAGGGAACTCCCACTTAACGGTCTTCTCCCCTCTCTGAACTGACCGGACGGGTCAGCCAGTCAGTCACTTCTATTTAAACGCGGGATTTGTCGCCAGCTTCAGTCAGCAGATACCTGCTCCTTGTATTGACCATTCAAGCGGTGACCACACTCTCAAAAGTCCCAAGGTCAACAGAGACGGGGGAGAAAGGGAGAGAGCAAGCATCCATTTGGGGGGGCTTCTTGAACACACAAAAGGGACAATGGTAGGGGACGACGCCGGTCTACCGGGGACAGCCAAGCAATACGTGGGTGTGGTGGGGGGAACGAGTTCAAGACGATGAGAGTGAGAGAACATTAATTTTTTAAAGGTAGCACAAACAAGTAACAAAGAGAGTGTGTGTGTGGGGGGGGGTTAGAGAGAAAGAGTGAATGACTGAGTGTGAGAGAGAGAGAGAAAGAGAGTGAGAGAGAGAGAGAGAGAGAGAGAGAGAGAGAGAGAGATGGGGGGAAGGAACAGCTTTATCAAGCTCACATCACAAAAAGAAGGTATCACAATAGCCTGTAGCCAGGCTCCATTGGTTTTCAGGTTGAGTATGAAATCCCCCAGGGGCGATGGAAAATAAATCTGCATTACAGCTTAAAGGAGCTTTACAGATTAACTGAATGATTTCTTTGTCACTCAGATTTAGACATGAAAACTTTGAGAGAAAGTTAAAACTCACAAATCAGAGAAGAAATTGCCCTATGGCGATCAAAACACAACAAAAAGCAAGACAACTTTTTGTCCCACAAAGCAATAGCTTTAGAGGCCTAAAGCTGTGCCAGCTTCATTCATTCCCATTCCAACTTCTACCGAATATCAAATGAAAAAACAACCTTCAGGTACCACCCCCCAACCCCCCAACAAAATAGCTCCCATCAACTCTTGAAAAGGAGCACAAAGGAGACTGACTTTTTTTTCCAAATTTGAAATAATTTCACATGACTGATAATGCAGTATGCCAGTAGGAATTACCAGGTTTTGTTTTCCTTTTCTTTTGGCATGAAACTTACACATTACAGGACACAAAAAGGTCACACTGAAGTGTGATGAATATAATCGTCATCTCTCTAGGTGCAAGCTTAGATACGAGCGGTTGCTTAGTGTCTCATGTCAGCATTATAAGAGGTGATTCCAACAGCGTGCACTTTTAAGGGAATTCAGCACCAATGCCAATATGCAAAACTGTCTGTCTGAATGCAAAGCTGAGCAGGTGATGGCGACATCTGGTAATGATAAATCAAACCTGCTCTGTTATATCTTCTATCATGGTATCAGTCACCTTTATGAAAAATGCCCAAACAACGTTCATAAACAAGGTGAGCCAATGCATTTTTTGCTTGAATTCATAATCATCATCTGCACTTTTGTCGTGACCGACTAGAAGTGTGATAAAAGAAAAAG